TTGATTTCCCTCGCGGACAGTCAAATTTCAAACTTGAACCCGTCTGGAAAGGTATATAGTCCCTTATATTGATCTATACCTTTATCTGGTGAAATATTAATTTCTAGACCCTCTAGTTGCTTTGATAAATCGTCATTTTCAAACTTGCAACTGTGGGTTGGCGAATTCTGGTATTGTATTTAGAAATTCCTGTAAACCGGTTTACTCCTTAGGCAGGAATACAGGGGACTTCTTTCCTAGAGACGCTAGTTTGATTTTGGAAAAAAACATTCTTTCGCCTGATCCTAAAGTGTCTAGACGTGTATACAGTCTATGTAGAAATTGGCGCATTCAAAGTTCCATTTCTATCTTGGAAGATTTCCTAAGCTTGGGTGAGTTGATTATAGTTTATGAGTACCATAATTGATGTTTTTCTTAAGTTGGCCACTGCTGCAGAGAGGGCAGAGTCAGCTGTGTGATCGCACAGAGTTCGACCGTTCTTGATGTCCAGAGTTCAGGATCCAAACCTTAGACCTTTCCCTGTACATACTAATTAGTTGGTGCTCTTCATAACCCACACCATTTGTAAAGATATTAAACCCTACAAGTAATTATTCTCTAACCAGTCAAACGAAGTCAGGGCTAGGCGCTCTGAGTCAAAGGTGTGTTTGATACAGATTCAGTGGGTGTGTAGTGAACGGCCTGTGGAGACGAAATATATGTATAGGTACTAGCTGTAAACATTGTATGTCAGCGAGTGCAGATGTGAGGGTGGAGAGAGGATGATCTATGTGTGGTAGTGTCTATCTATCTCCACTATATACCTTGGTTTCTAACTGTTGCACTATTTTACAGACAGATAAATGAAAGGAGACATTGTCTCCTGTTCTTGAGAGTTACACTCTGAGGATGGAGAAAGGTGGCAGAGGTGAGATGAGCTAGTGTGTGTGAATAAGGCTGATTCCTAATTCTGAGTTCTTTCCTGACAGGATGATACCTCCTTAGAGATCAGGCAGACGAATCACAGTTCAGCCAACCACCACCAACCCATACCATTCTGTGCACCAAGAGTGTCCCAAAAGTCCTGTATGTTGTGCCACTAACTCAGCATGGCAAGAGCTTGTTTGTGAGTTCCAGGGCCAGTGGACAATTGCAAACACCTATGTCATCAATCCAGAGAACCAGTCTTCAAGAGCTTTGTGGGGCTCTTCTGCATTTATTGTGTCATCACCTGTGAGACCGGCAGTGGGCATCACAGTCTCCAAGAGCTTTGCAACTACTGATTGAGTCAACTACAGTCGAATCACCATGGATTGAGGGGAGCATTGACCTACGAACTGGGCTAAGTGATCTTTTATTCACCCTGCATGCTCTATTCCCACAGCACCTGTTCAGACCGATGATAAACTCATGTACTCTCCTGAAACAAGATCTGGCTGCTTCAATATCAGTGTTGTGTCATTGATTCCTGAGCGCTATTCAATGAACTCTTGTTGATCAATTCACTATTATATGTATATATTGTACCGATTACATGCACACATTTTCATGGCTGACTTGGGTGTCCCTATTTAACCATTCAAACTGTCTAGCTTTGATGATTGTGTGAGCAAAAAGTGTTATATGTGTTAACATGGTTATGATAGTAGACTACCATAACCTGGGAGCTATCTTTTTATAATAGTGGGGGTGTCAAGCCAAGTGTGCCTAGGAATATTATATATTTTGTAGTGCTAAAACTTGAGTTGCCCTACTCCTGAAATAAGTTGAGCGTATATTGGCCACGGGGCATCCCTTAGACCAATACGAGCCAACAACTCAACATAATTATTTCAGAGTGCTGTTGGTTCTTAAGGAAAAATCCTTAGATCAAACACGCGACAGGAGCGATATGTGACAGGGGGCAGCAGAATAGATCTTTCCCCCCTAAATGCGATCTGTTCTCTGTTAATGTTGGGCGGCATATACCAAAGCTGACATCCAACTTGTGACAACGGTTGCGGGCGGAGAAAAGAAGTGGAAATGATGCTAGCCTGAACCCGGAACAAGGACATGCAACTTGAAATCTCATTGTTATGGCAGGGGCAGATCAGGCCTTTACGCATTCGTGGCTGACAATGGGTATTGGAGGGAAGCCCTGTCACATGGAGACAGCACTGGTCTTCTAATCGAGCAGCTTCTGCAGCACGCTTTGCTTCAAACATCCCGGTGTTACTCTGGCTCCGGAGTTAATACTGCAGGCCGAAAGAGTGATTACACTCCAGGGCCAACGCATCGTCTCTACAACACTACCCAGGCCTTGTGTCGTGGAGAGAACGAACTGCATCCATAGCGCTGTGAGATGCGATTCTAATGCCTCTCTATGGCAGAAAGGATCACCTTTCTTCTTCTCTTCTCTGCTCATAGAATGCCTTGCAGCCACAGGGCAGGAAATCTCCTAACCCGAAACCGACCCTTTCGTCTGCTTTGAATATAGGAGTTTTCAGTTTCTCCGATATTTCTGCAGTCCATGTTCTGCGTGCTCTACCTCTGACTCTGTTACCGCTGTATCTTTATCATATGCTCGCTGTAGTACCCTGGCTGGTGCCAATATTGTTAGATGGCTAAACCATCTGACATGTTGTCTGCCAATAGCAGTACTGGTTCTGTGCCGATTCTTTTCCTGACATCATCGTTCCTCATTCGATTTGTCTTTGTTACACCTAGAATATTATGTAAACATTTCACTTCTGTTGTGAAAATTGTTCTTCTACCTTCTGAAGACAAGGAACACCATCGCTTTGAAAGACGGAATGGTGCAAACACAAACACAACAAACCCACAGATTTCACTGCGACAAGTAGTTACGCAACACAAAATATTTTTTAAAAAACCACAGATTTCATTGAGATAGGTAGTTACACAACAAAAAATATTTTTAAAAAAACCACAGATTTCACTGCGATAGGTAGTTACACGATTATATATATATATATATATATATATATATATATATATATATATATATATATATATATATATATATATATATATATATAACCACAGATTTCACTGCGACAGGTAGTTACACAACACAAAATATTTATTTTAAAAAACACCACAGATTTCACTGCGACAGGTAATTACACAACAAAAAAAAATTTTTTTTAACACCAGATTTTACTGCGATAGGTAGTTACACAACACAAAATATTTTTTTTTTTTTAAAAACACAGATTTCACTGCAATAGGTAGTTACACAACACAAAATATTTAAAAAAAAACCACAGATTTCACTGCAATAGGAAGTTACACAACACAAAATATTTATTTTAAAAAACACCACAGATTACACTGCGATAGGTAGTTACACAACACAAAATATAAAAAAAAAAAATCACAGATTTCACTGCGATAGGAAGTTACGCAACACACAATATTTATTTAAAAAACACCACAGATTTCACTGCGATAGGTAGTTACACAACACAAAATAACATAAAATACACCACAGATTTCACTGTGATAGGTGGTTACACAACACAAAATAAAGTAAAAAACACCGCATATTTCACTGCGACAGGTAGTTACACAATACAAAATATAAAAAATACAATAGATTTCACTGCGACAGGTAGTTACACAACACAAAATATTAAAAAAAAACACCACAGATTTCACTGAGACACAATACAAAATATAAAAAATACAATAGATTTCACTGCGACAGGTAGATACACAATACAAAATATAAAAAATACAATAGATTTCACTGCGACAGGTAGTTACACAACACAAAATATTTATTTTAAAAAAAACACCACAGATTTCACTGAGACAGGTAGTTAGTTACACATGGACCTCCCCCGCACACCACCAGATTCTAAACCCGTCATCCAAAACCAAGTTCGCATTAAAAGTAGCACAGATAAACAAACAGGAAGCTCTAACAAAATGACGCCAGGGCATTTAAAAGACCTATTACACAAGATATATTTTACGCATGACATAAGACGAAAACGAAAAACACATTTTAAAAAAACGGGGTCACGCCCGGGAATTTCGCTGTAGGAGCAGGCGGCTAAAAAAGCTTGGAAATAAAACTGACGGATTGCCTGTTTACAGTAGTCAGACGTGTTGATCACGTTTTTCCCCTTTTTTCACTCCCACTTCAACTCCTCCCGCGCTGTTTTCAGTTCGTGACCTCTCTCTCTCTCTCTCTCTCTCTCTCTCTCTCTCTTTCTCTCTCTCTCTCTCTCTCTCTCTCTCTCTCTCTCACACACACACATCTCATCTATTCTAGTCCTGTCCTGTCCTGTCTGTCTAGTTCTTATTACGTCTCTTTCTCATCATCATGTAGCAGGTCCTTTGCAGAACGTCGCTCTCATCACAGTCTGCCTGAAAGAAACTCAGTCTCTCGCCAGTTCTCCCGCCTCATGCACTTTCACACTCAAGCAGTCACTTATATCCTGTGACCATCTTCGTGTCGGTCGGCCCCTGTTCCTCCTTCCTGGTACCATGCCTTCTGCTGTAATTTTTTTCCAATCCGTCGTGGCGCTTGATATGACCAAAATATTTCAGCTTTCGAGAAAAGATGCTGTTATTAGCCAATCTTCCATGATGTTCAGATCTTTTAAGATGTCAATATTTCTTGTTTTCGTCTCTTTCTACTATATTATTATGTCTGTGTGCAATTTTATGTTCAGTAGTTTGTCATCCGACAAACAAGCAGCAGAGAAAACAGACACACAGACAGCAGACGCACAGACAGCAGATGCACGGTGAGCAAATGCACAGACATACAGAAAACAGATAACAGTTGAACAGAAAATAAAACAGAGAAAGCAGAAGCACAGACAGCAGACACAAGAACGCACAGGCAATAGAAGCACAGATGCAGATAGCAGACGCACAGACAGCAGAAGCACAGACGCGAGACAGCAAAACACAGACATAGAGACTAGACATAGACACAAGCATAGACAATAGACACACAGATAAAACAGCAGACACATAGACAACAGGCACAGATAAATACCTACTTGAATAGTGCATGTTCAGCTGCAGGCATTTCTGGTAGCGGCAGTACTGACAATGAACGCGGCTTTCTTTGGTAATGGCACACTGCTTTTGTCTCAAACACACATACCTGGGTCGCTCCAACTTGGATGCTCGGATAAAGAATTTCTAAAAGAAAATAAGAATGTTCTTATGATTTAAATCAAATGGAAAACATATTGGGGAGGAGGAGAGAGAGAAAGACAGAGAGAGAGAGAGAGAGAGAGAGAGACAGAGAGAGAGAGAGAGAGGCAGAGAGAATAATATACACCTCGTTCACTTCAACTTGCAAGCCATGATAAAAACATTGATGAGTAAAAAAGATGATGGAATAATTTACTGATTTAAATAGAATTAAAAGCCTCTGGCAACACAAGGCGAAACGAATGAAATAAAAACACAAAGCGGAGAAAACTCTAAACAGAAGTGAATTCGATGGGGAAAACGCTGGGCAAGCTGGATGCAGTAGCAACGGTTGGACGTCCTGATGCTACTTGTTTGTTTGGGGTCTTCTGGCCTATTTGCTAACAAAGGACAGATGACGGTAAGATAGCAGCTGTAGAAGAAGAAGAAAGAAGAAGAAGAACAAGAAGAAGAAGAAGAAGAAGAAGAAGAAGAAGAAGAAGAAGAAGAAGAAGAAGAAGAAGAAGAAGAAGAAGAAGAAGAAGAAGAAGAAGAAGAAGAAGAAGAAGAAGAAGAAGAAGAAGAAGAATAAGAAGAAGAAGAAGGAAGACGAAGAAGAAGAAGAAGATGAAGAAGAAGAAGAAGAAGAAGAAGAAGAAGAAGAAGAAGAAGAAGAAGAAGAAGAAGAAGAAGAAGAAGAAGAAGAAGAAGAAGAAGAAGAAGAAGAAGAAGAAGAAGAAGAAGAAGAAGAAGAAAGAAGAAGAAGAAAGAAGAAGAAGAAGAAGAAGAAGAAGAAGAAGAAGAAGAAGAAGAAGAAGAAGAAGAAGAAGAAGAAGAAGAAGAAGAAGAAGAAGAAGAAGAAGAAGAAGAAGAAGAAGAAGAAGAAGAAGAAGAAGAAGAAGAAGAAGAAGAAGAAGAAGAAGAAGAATCATATTTCTCGAACTGCAGAGTACAGAATATCACCTTACAAATCACGAAACCATTTGATGACCTGTTGTAATCTTATAGTCCAAGAGTTAAAGTTTCTTCTAGTTTCTTCTAGTGGTCATAGCGCAGGTGAAAGGTTCACACAGCGGCCACCGGTCGGGTCTGTTACCTGGGATACCAGCTAATTGAATGCTGGGCGATTAACACAAAGGCTCCTGCAGAACACAAAGGATTCGGCAGTTGAGATATTTCCATTGTCCAAGTCGGACGTGTTTCCGCGGGGTTAGCGGAAACTGTGTTGGCTCTCTGTATGAGGATATTATAGAAACGTTTTCTCTTTGTGAGGTTTTGATTTACCGTTGTTTGCGGGAGACAGTTCAATGTCTATTTACTTATTTTAATGGCAGGAGCCCATTGAGAAAAGCTGCTGTAATTCTTTTATATTCTCAGAGTAGATAATAAAGAGTTATTATCGTACGTTTTTATTGAATAATCATCATCATCTTGTGACGTGTAACTTTAATGCCATTAAAGTTTATGTGGCCTGTCACAAGCGTTATTGTTGGCTTGTAAAGGTAGCAAGCTGTCTGACACTGAAACACGCTATAGTGTCGGAGAGAGAGAAGCACTGGGAATTTACTGGTCCATCGCAAAATTCTCCAGGTACTTGTTAGGGCGAAATTTTTTCGTTATTACAGACCACAAGTCACTTGCTGTTTTGAACACAGGGTCTGTAACAAATGCCCGTATTCTTCGTTGGACATTGTTTCTTCAGACTTTTAACTATACCATCATCTACCGGAGTGGTAAGGAGAACGTACTTGCTGACTATTTGTCCAGATTTCCTTGTACATCATGAGACAATCAGTTCCTTTTCACATTGGAATTTTTATACCTCACTACACTGCAATGGATGCTTATATATTGGTATCAACATACTTTATCCAGATATGTATATTTCAAGGACATACCTATGAGAAGTGTTTAGTTAGTTAATTTCTCAAGTGTTTTGGACAGATGATTCCATTTATTGGGATTGACAGTAATTATGATATGTGGATTTAGCTTATGAGTTATTAGTGAACCAGTTATGATATTATATTGTATTTCTTGTTGTTATTTCATGTCTTATAACTAAAAGTTATCATCATTTTATTTACATGCATTCTTATTATAACAAAAGTTATCATCATTTCGTTTACATGCATTCTCACTTAACTACATGTGGATTTCACTAGGTATATTCGAATATAAGTTGTCTAGATGACTACAACAGAGTTAAAATTATGCAACTGAAAACATAGATTTTCAGTTTGTGAGAGGGGGGGATAAGCTGTTGTAATCTTATAGTCCAAGAGTTAAAGTTTCTTCTAGTTTCTTCTAGTGGTCATAGCGCAGGTGAAAGGTTCACACAGCGGCCACCGGTCGGGTCTGTTACCTGGGATACCAGCTAATTGAATGCTGGGCGATTACACAAAGGCTCCTGCAGAACACAAAGGATTCGGCAGTTGAGATATTTCCATTGTCCAAGTCGGACGTGTTTCCGCGGGGTTAGCGGAAACTGTGTTGGCTCTCTGTATGAGGATATTATAGAAACGTTTTCTCTTTGTGAGGTTTTGATTTACCGTTGTTTGCGGGAGACAGTTCAATGTCTATTTACTTATTTTAATGGCAGGAGCCCATTGAGAAAAGCTGCTGTAATTCTTTTATATTCTCAGAGTAGATAATAAAGAGTTATTATCGTACGTTTTTATTGAATAATCATCATCATCTTGTGACGTGTAACTTTAATGCCATTAAAGTTTATGTGGCCTGTCACAAGCGTTATTGTTGGCTTGTAAAGGTAGCGACTGTATTACATGATGCTGTGTCGGTGCCAAGTGTGCCAGTTATAGAATGCAGGACTTCACTGTAGCACATCCATCAGACCTCCTAATTTAAAAACCACGCCAACGCCAGCAGTAAAAGAACCAAGTGGCTCAATCTACATGGTATACCAAGACCTTGTCAGCTCTGTGGCTAAGTCGATGCGAACCCTTCGTAATGCCGGGATGACGGGTTCGATTCCAGCTGCTGGCCTTGCGCTGGTTTCGACAGTGGTATAAAGAAAGCCGACCGTCCAGTACCAATGGCAAACTACTGGGCGTAAATGTGCCTAGAAAAACCACACAACAGCCAGGGGCTGTTAGGGTTGGTTCTACACTATCCTATAAAGGATAAGCAACTAACCTTATACCAACACCTTACTAACTGGAACATATCTACGAAAACGAAAAGCTGAGAAACTGAACATGGGCGGTAACCAGTGGCTCTCAACCTTTCGAATGCCGCGACCCTTTAATACAGTTGCCCCATGTTGTGGAGACCCCCGAACAATTATTTTCCTTCATAACTTTAATAAATGTGTGTTTTCCAGTGGTCTTAGGCAACCCCTGTGAAACTGTCGTTCGACCCTTTAAAAAAAAAAAGGGGGGGGGGGGGGGAGGGGGGGAGCTCTGCGGTAAACAGTAGTTTCTATTACGGACGTGCACATTTTTAGGGTTCTTGTATGTCAACCCTATTCTGGAGTCTTGGAGAGTTTGTAGGGAATTTCCGGGAAATTCCAATAGTAAAGGGTTGTTAGGGTGTGAAATGAACACCGACTTACCCTAATATTGGACGTTCCAGACAATTCCCTACTAAATCTCAGAGCCAGCGAGATGATGAGAAATACAGGAAAAGAAACATTTTTAATATGGCCATAGATTAGGTGGGTATTAGGTACTGTAATCAACGAAACAGTTTTGTTGCAGAACACCTACGGACGTACCCGAAGTATCATGAGGATTACCCAATTTCTAACTCATGACCCAGTCTTGTGACAATGAGGGGGACCACGAACTGAGCAGAAGGGATACTTTTCAAAATGGACAGGGTAGACATTTCGGGAAACCTAAATTCTGGTATAAACACTCGTAAACAAGTCATACAGGGTACAGTGGGGTTGCCATCCTAACGAAATTATTCAAAGAAAAAAAAATCGTGGGGAAAAAACATACACAAAAAAATGTTAATTTGTCACTATTTAGCATTCCCATATTCTGACAAAATGTTTCGGTGAGTCTGGAGGATGTCATGTTATCAAAGAATTGTGTAACATATTTTAGTTACGCAGTTACTAAAATGTTCACACCTGTTGCTTTGAATTTTTTACAAGATAGAAAATATAACCAAGAAATCATTTAATAACAAACACAAGTAAAACAACAACAAGGATGTTTTTAAAGTATTGCAGGCAGCTTTCAGAATAATAAAAACAACCTGATTGATGCAACGAAGGAACAGATGACCTTACTTTCCTGTGGGGAAATAGGCTAGCCTGTCAATCCAAAGGTCTAGGGTGGATTTTCTTATAATTTATTTTAGCTCCCACGTCCACCCAGCCTTAAATTCTCCTTCTTCATCCTCAGTCTTTCTAACCACTCAATGGAGCTCAGGTCCTCCGCCAACTCACGCCAAATCGTTCTATCCTTAGTTATCGAATGCAGGTATCCTTATCTTGTTAACTTCACTCTCGAGATCCCTTCTCCGTGTGTTTTTGGGTTTTTCCTGTATTCAGCCTAAAATTAGTTCCCATATCATGGAAAGTAAAGGCAGCCGGTGTGATGTTGATCACAGCCCCTATCGAGTGCCGAGGGGGTCTTTAAACCATTATTGTAGCATCCACACACACACAAAACTACTAAATACTGCCTTTATTCCACTTTTGAGGTGTCGGCGAGGGGTGGGGGGGGGGGGGGGGGGGGTTTTTGAGCCTGCGGATTTACAGCCGCATGTCTAGTGCTGTTGTTACGACTGTGCAGGTGAGGATTTTATTGTGCGTGCCCCTGACAGAAAAAAATCTTCAGTCTTACCGAGGATTCGAACCCGGATCTCCCAGCGTTCTAACCGCTAAGCCAGCCGCAAGTGTAGCATCATTCGTCCGATTTACTAATGGCACCAGCAGAGGGCCTTACTTTCTGTTACGTCGCTTGAACTGCAGAGTTTCGTGTCTTGTGCGACTTAACTGGTCTGCCTGTCCGTGTGTCTTGTCTGTCATG